TACTAGAGATACTTGAGATGCTACCATTGGGGGAAACTGGGTGAAAGGTACACAGGACCTCTCTGTACTCTCTTTGTACTCTCTTTGTGACTCCCTGTGAATCTATAATTATTTAAAAACAAAAAGTGAGAAAAACAAAAGGAGATGGTAGTCATGAGGCCATGATCTGGTGAGATGTATCCTCAGAGTAAAATGTCCTTGGAGCCGGGTTGTAGGGCTTTACTTGGTTTCCCACCTGTTTTACCGAAGACATCATCATACACTGAGGTCCCTTTACTGAAGTCATCCTGTATGCAACCCAGAATGTTCTATCACACTAAACAGTGTCACCACCATTCTAATATATGTAATATATAATAAATAAATATATGTAGTAAGAGGAGTGTGTGTGACATGTGCCAGTCTGGGTGACAGAACATCATCTCAGAAGGACTCCCATTTAGAGTTGAGGAAACGGGTCCAGAGTGGAGAAGAGGCCCAGTCAAGGTTACCCAAGTAGCTGATGGCAGCAGTGAGCCCACAGGTGAGGTCTGGTACCCAGCCCAGAGCCCCTCTGTTATACCACCTGCAGCTTAGTACCAGAGGCTTGAGATGGCATTAAAATGCAGAACTCATCCAAGGGTTAACTCTGAAAAGCAACACCCAAAGAACGTATCAGTGACATCAGGGCATCTCTTTTAATTGCCCATTCACGTGGACAGATTGACTTTTCATATTCAGAGCTAAACTTGGAGATGTGTCCTTTTGCAGGGTTCTTGTTATCTGACTGCCTCATCAGGAATGGAACTAATGTGCAATGTGATTGCTGAGTTTGAGTTCTATTTTTTTTTTTTTTCCTGTGAAGCAGGAAGTTTAAAATGTGCTGGGTTATTTTTAAAGATGGTGAAAAAATAGGCATCCTACCAGCTTCTGTAACGGCCCTGTCCAAAGGCACGTGCTACTTTATTCAAGGCATTGGCCAGCTGCGGAGGAACAGGGGTGGCGTGAAGTCTTACCAGGAAGATTTCCTGGTGGAGGGATTGGGGATGAGTGTCCACACACTCAAGTGGCAGCAAAGGACCTGAGCTTAGCTGTTGACTTGGCGAGGACAGAGATCCAGGGTTTTTTTGGTGGTGACATCCAGCAGTTTGTTTCATTTGGGAATTTATGACTCTCACTTCCTCCCCAAAGAGTGTTGGTCGCCAGACCTGAACTAAGAGTCGGCCCCAATGAGTCTGTTCCCTGCCCGGTCATTTTTGGGGCCTTGTGTCATATGAGTCACAAACGTGAGTCTCACATTCTTGAGTTGATGAGGAGTTTGGGAGAGCAAACCCCTGCAACTCTAGTACTTAGGAAATCGAGTATTTACTTGAAAGGAAATCCAGAAGAACTTGGCTTCCATTAAGTTACACATTTCTTGATCACTGACTTTGTGTTAAGGCACTGTAGTAGGAACGAGGTTGGCAATAGAATTTTTGGGGGGCAATTTCCCCACATCGCCTGGAAGAGCAACAAAACTCAGAGAATCACAAACCACCATGGGAAATTCTGCCGTAGAAAGTTCTAGAAAGTGACTTCCCTGGTGGCGCAGTGGTTAAGAATCTGCCTGCCAGTGCAGGGGACACGGGTTCAATCCCTGGCCCGGGAAGTTCCCACATGCCGCGGAGCAACTAAGCCCGTGCTCCACAACTGCTGAGCCTGCGCCCTAGAGCCCGCGAGCCACAACTACTGAGCCGGCGCGCCTAGAGCCCGTGCTCCGCAACAAGAGAAGCCACCGCAATGAGAAGCCCGCGCACTACAAAAACGAGCAGCCCCCGCTCGCCGCAACTAGAGAAAGGCTGTGTGCAGCAACGAAGACCCAACGCAGGCAAAAAATTAAAAAAAAAAAAAAGTTCTAGAAATGAATGGTAAAATCATTAACCTTCCTTTCCTTGTGTGAGTCATCACGTTCTCCTCTCTGCTCAGTCTTAGAAATTCGGAACGCTTTTTCTCCGCTACTACAAGCAGACGCCCTGTACAAAACACCTCCTCTAATCCTCCCAACAACCCTGTTCACTAGTTATTTTTAAACCCAATTTCTCAAAAGAGGAAAATGAAAACTAGATGGCGTAATAACCTGTCCACTGTTTTCAAAGTGAGTCAGGGGGCGAATCAGCTGGGAAAGGGAAGGTTTCAGGCCTGCACTGGAGCCTGACGTCCAGCAGTGGGCGCTGCACAGAAGGGCTGGGTGAATTCCTCCCCGACTTGGAACGCTGAAGCTGACAAGCTCAGGAAACGGTCTGCTAGCGGGGGAGGGTGTCCACGTCGGGGCGGGTGGGAAGGGGAGGTAGGAGTGGGAGGCTGTGAACACTTCTCTGACCACTCATATGTGACTCAAGCTGGCGAACGTGGGGCGAGGGGTCGGGGGAGCTGCGCACTGTATTCTGAAGAAGGCTGGGAGCCCAAGATGGGTGAAAGAGGAGATTTTCCTCAAAGAATTGCCTAGGATCCTTACCTTTCACCCACCCTGAGAGCACGAGGCCTGAGGTTAGAAGCGCTGTGTGATAACAGCTTTGATGAGACAACTCTGGATGACGTATCACCCAGCTGGAGTAACACTTTTGCCTGGGGCTTCTCAGGAAAGAAACGCAAGCTATAAGGGTCACAGAACCGCAGAGTCCCAGGGGTGGAGAGACTCTGGCAGAGGTCCTCTATCCAGCCGTACCAGAGGCCTGACTGCACTTTCCTCCAGCTTCTGCCTGGGCCCCTCTTGTGTTGGGAGCTCACACCTTGATCTCTATTTTGGGTGGAGAATCCTCCTTCTTTTGGGGAGAACGGATGGCACCCAAGCATGGTATATATAAGACCCTTCCCACGTTGAGTTGGGGACGGGGTAGCAGAAGCCAAGTCAAGCCCTTCATGTTGATTCCCGGGGCGGCAGGTACACGAGCCTTCTGGTTTTTCACTGCGAACGGAAGGGGCGCAGGGGAGCTACGTGGCAGGCAGGTAGGCTCCCCCGCCTACGCCTACCCCCCAATGCTAAGGGGCCCTTGTGCAGTCGCTAAGAACAGAGGGACAAAGCCCCCTATCCGACAAGCAAAAGGCAAATGCCACAGCACACACTTTATCTTTCCAAAAGGAACACATCAGATGCCTTGTTCACCCCGAGGCTACACAGGGGGTAATGCACAGTCAAAAATAAATTGACCTTCTAATAAATTGACCTTCTGTTCTCCTGGCCTGACTCAGAGTTCTGGCTCCTGGCACTCAGTTGCTTGGGTTGCTTCCTAAAGAAGAAACAGACCTCAACTGCTAAGCAGGGGTGATCAGTCTTTGCCAGAGGTGCTTGTGATGTCAGCTGTTGACCAGGCCTCACTGGCCCTGGGCTCCAGGGGCTGCCTGGACCTCTCCCTGGCTTCCTGTAGGCCTCTGTGGATAGGCTGGAGGTATTCATCTCCACCAGGCCTGGGTTGGGCCCAGGCTGGGTCAGGAGCCAGAGGGGACCAGCTGGGGACTTGGTTTGACCCCCAAGGGGAGAGCTGCTTGTCCCTCCATGACCCTCACCCCTAATCCCAGAATGCTGCCACCATCCACAAATATCACTTCATGCTGCCCTTTGGGGCGGGACATGCCAGGTTGAGATAACCTGTTTTTCTCCATTCCCCCACTCCCCAAAAGCTTCATCAAGGCACACAATGACAGTCAGAACTCCATCCTTTGCAGGCGAGTTAGCTGCAGGAGGCAAGAGGCAATGACAGGCGGCACCTGTATGTCCTCTGCCTGACGGGAAGGAAATCCAAGGGTGGCACCCAGAGGTGTCTGCAGACCCAGGGGACTAGAGCTTGGTTAGCCAAGTTCTAGTTGGCAGAGTGGAAGGCAGTCAGCGACACGAGCACCCATCTTTTATCTAGCATCTTCATTTCCCTTGATTTTTTTTTTTCTGCAGGGTCACATTTTCCGATCTCTTAACTGAGTGAAGTTCTCAGGCTCCAACTGTGGGGTGAGAGCTCACTGGTACCATACAAACAATGCACGGCTTGGGAAAATCATTTCTTTTAATGACAGAGAAAGCACACCAAACTATGACAGAAGCCCGTCAGGAGTTGCCACTGTACAAATCAAGGCCCAGAGGCCCAGAGCTAGCATCAGACATTCACAGGGAAGTCAGTCGCGGTTAAGGAAACATCCACGCAGCATCTCGGACAGGAGGAGGCGAGAGACAGCAATGACTCAGGATGTGCTGTGTATCTGTAACTTGGACTCCTCTGGAGGCAGTTTTTTTTCCCCTTCCTCATCGGATGCTGGGGGCTGGGGAGGTTTGCAAATGACCGAGTGGAAGAGAGGCCTTGTGTCAGCATCACAGAAGAGCCAATGCTGTAGACAGATGTGGCCCGGGTACTCCATGGGTCATACCCATGAAATACGACTTGACATTGGTCCTCTGAACAATGGCTCAGGGAGCTAGTACAACGTTTGAGCAGCAGCTCCTTTAGACTCTGGGGTCTGCGCACAAGTTCCCAAAGGCATGCTAGGAAATAGTTTTGTCAACGCAACTTTGCCATCCCAAAGGGTAAGAGTCATTCTCCTAGTTTTTACTGCATGTTATCTAGGTTTCAAATGAAGGGACAAGAAAAAAAAAAGGCAGCGACTCAAAAATTATTTGGAATATCGTGGCACTTCACTAATCTCTTTTGCTTATAATATATGGCAAAGCGAACAGAACCCTGTCGATATAAACTTTCATTATAGATAACCCTATACTGTACACTTTCCGAATACAGAAAGAATCCATCCTATCATACATGTTTCATCTTTAAAAATAATCTAACATAGTCATATCCTCTGGCCAGTAGCAAACTATTAACATCTTCTGAGAATACAGAGGAAACTCTGGGATTAATAGTAAATTCTCTGACGTGCCCCGCCCCATCCCCTATGCAGCATCATCTACGAACACATTTCTGCAAAAGCATCCCAGCATCATTCGTAACTAGGAAAGGAAATGGATATGTTAGTTTCACCAACTGGACTTTTAGCAAGAAGTGATGGGACATTTTTACCTTGGCAAAAATGAAGCACAAACATAACATTTTACAGGTTCAGGCCCATGCAAATGCTTTTTTTTTTTTTTTTTTTTTATGTGGGGGGATTTTATTCTCACCCCAAAATCACGATTAGCATGCAGGTTTTTTTTCAACTATTGAGTTAATTATTGGCAGTGCACCTCTTCTGTGTAACCATGATCACTAAGGCAAGGTTATTATTTCACCTTGTGTAGAATATTAGCAATATCTTCTCAGATGCATGTTTATACAGTGTAGACCTGCAACTGTTTTTTTTTTTTTAAAAAAGAAATCTCAAAACACAGATCCCTAAACACAATCCAGTTGAAAATGAACTGTTAAGCTTTTAGAAATATATTTTAAACTACAAGGCTGCCCTGTTCTGGGTTTTTTTTTTTTATGAACATTTTAAAAAGTTCCCACCCCTAAAAATACGCCAAATGATGTCTTCGTCATTGGTAACAGTCTCACCAATTTGCTACCATGGTTTAACTCTTGCGGAATTGCAGCTACTAAGGTAATGTGTAATAAATATAATGCTTTTCAGGGTCGGTACAGTGAAGTTCTCCAACTGTCAACCTGGAACCTGAACGGCCTTTAGTTCTCAGTCTATCTGCTGGATAGCGGTCCCTGGCAAGGGGTGTTCAACTGCCCCAGGGGTGCTTTCAGATGAGGTCAGCTCGGCTGCCCCACGTTGGCCTTCTAGCTCTGGATCCAGCTGTAATCTGACCTGCAGGCCAGTGGCATGTCCTTTGTTTCTCAACAGGAGCTCATGAGAGCTGCATTTGCTTATTCAAGAGCAGCTGAGGCAGTAAAAGCAGCTCCTTGGCCCAGCCAAAAACAGATGCCAGGTGAGACTTGTATGTTCGTGTGAAGCCAATGCAGCAGCAGAACTGGCAAGTCCCTGGGGAACGTTCCTTGGACTGGACGTTTCATACAACAGAACCTTTGGAAGATGACAAGTGGATTGACTGAATCCTGATGGCCAACGTCCTCTGTAAGTCCTGGAGCACATCCTGGCCCGTCCCTTCGCCATTTTTGTCATATAGGAGCTGCTTGAATGCTTCGTTTTCGATGAGGACCATCATGTTTTTGAGAAAGTAGCCTTCGCAATATGCTGAGAGCTCCATGACTCCAAGAAACTGTGGAGAATGGAGAAGCGGGAGATGGTTATGTTTCTGAAAAAGCACCTGTTTTCACACGTGTTGATGGCGAACACCTGTTAGAGTAGACTGACTGCGGCAGTGGCCCCGATTCTGCATCCTTTGCTGTATTCACACCCAGGGTATGTGACTTTGCAGCTCCTCCCGTCAAAGGGCTGAGTCCATTTCTCCCTGCCTTGGCCTTGTGAGTTGCTCAGGCCAAGAGAATGTGGTTGCAGTGAGAGTTGCCAGCTCTGAGCTGGCTTCAAGTGGCCGTGTGTGCTTCTGTGCTCTCTCTCAGAACCCTGCCTCTGCCTCAGAAACAAGCCTGAGCTAGCCTGCTTGCAGCTTGAACAGCCACATGAAACTGACCTGACAGCGACAGAGCCCAGCCAGGATCAGCACAGCCAGCCACAGCCGACCGGCCAGCTGACCTCAGAAGCAAGGCTGGCTGAGACCAGAAGAGCCCACCCATGCTGTCAACTCATGTACTAAACAAGCACTCACTATTCTAACACTGGGTTTTGAGTCTCTTTGCTCTACTACAGATCACTGGTGCACTCACGGAGTTTCAGACACAGTTCTAATCTCTTTACAAGTATCAACTCACTTAATTCTCACAACCATCATATGAGTGGGCACTGCCTACCTACCCCCTATATTTAGGGCAGTGGTTCTCGACCAGGGGTGATTTCGTCTCTCAGGGGACATCTGGAAGTCTGGACACATTTTTGGTTGTCACAACTCGGGGGCGGGGGTGGTGTGTGTACTACTGGCATCTAGTGGGTAGAAGCCAGGGATGCCACTAAATACCCCACCATGCAGAGGACAGACCCCCTGGCAGAGAATTATGCAGCTCACATTGTCAGTAGTGCCAAGGTTGAGAAACTGATCAAGAGACATGGTTCCTGACAGACTAAACCAAATACGGAAGGGATGACATTGACCTGCCTCACTTTACAAGCCCAAGAAGAAGGCTTGGCTTCTATTCACTAGGTTGCCTTTTGGTTTTGTTGATGGTTTCCTTCGCTGTACAATATGGATTTGTTGAATGTATGAACAGTTAATTCTCAGAGTAGTGACACCAGCAGCAAACACTGAGTGACAGCATATCATGTGCTGAGCACCGTGCTAGGCACTTCACGTGCATCATCTCAAAGTCCTCAAATTTCCTTGAGGCAGGTGCTATTACCACCTTCGATTTATAGATGAGGAAAGTGAGACAAGGGAGTAGCTGACAAAAATTCACACAACATGTCAAGGACAGAACCAGGAGCTGAACCCTGGTAACTCAAGTCCTGAAGGCTGTGTGTTTAACCATTAGGATGCACTGCCTCCGGCCTGATACCATTCAACCTTGGAAGCGTGCTTGGTGGAGGAATTCCTGTTTGAGATGCAGAAGCAAATGTGCATACGAGGGTCAGCTGTGTCCGTATTCAGACGTTTTCTACAGTTTTCAAAGCTTGTAAGTCTCTCTTTTGCAATGAGCTGGATGCTCAGTAGTTAAATGTTCCCTGAGATGATATCCTGCTGCTTTATTTAGATGCTAAATTATCTAAATCATCTAAATGTGGAATTTATCATTCTGAACTCCCTAATATGCTGTCCTTAAGCCAGAGATGCACTTTAAGCTGCTCCATGTGGAACGGTGGAATTACGATGAGGCAGCGCCAACAGGGCGATGGTGGAATGAGCGGGACACCTGGATTCAAGTTGGGGCTCCCCCACTTTTCTGAATATGTGACCAGGGCTGGGTCACTTGGCCTCTGGCTTTAGGTTCCTCATTTTCAAAATGGGAACTATGTCACTTGCATCATAGGCCTGTTGGGGGGATTGAATGGAAAATAACTGATGGCAGTGTTGTCATCTGTCACACTTAGGGGACGCAGGATAGGAAGGGAGCTAAGTGAGGGGGCTTTGGAATCTGCATGAGTTTTTAATCCAGACTTTGCCACTTCCAGCCATCTGCTGCTGGGCAAGTTATTTAATCTCTCAGTGCCTCCATATTCCTGTCCCTAAAATGGGGGAAGATAATAATACCTACCTAATAAGCTGTCGCTGGCATTAAATGAGATAATACATGGCACATTCAGAACAATGGCTGATTGTAGTCAGTGCTCACTCAGTGTTAGCTGGCATGCTAAATGTAAACTATTCATAATTATTACTCTCATCTCACTCATTTAAATCCAGGGACCCACGTGGACAAAGTAGGTGCCTAGGTTGGGATAAGAGGAGTTGACTGTATCTATGGAACCTAGTTCAGCTAACTGGCCCATCGAAGGACTAAGCCTGTAGCCTTTTTTAAAACTATTTTATTATTATTTTTTGGCTGCATCACATGGCTTGCGGGATCTCAGTTCTCCGACCAGGGACTGAATCCAGGCCACGGCAGTGAAAGCCTGGAATCCTAACCACTAGGCCACTAGGGAACTCCCCCAAGCCTGTACCTCAAACTCACTGACACCATGTGCTAATTCACTGAGCCAATGATCTATCTTCATAAAAATCATGTGCAACTTTGGGCAAGTCAAATCACTTCTCTGGGCCTCAGTTTCCCAAGCTACAAAATGAGGGGGTGTGAACTGGAGGGTACCATGCTCTGCGCATTTAGGACACGGACACACCAGGTAATTCTGTGGTCTCTGAGAGGCTTAGGGGGCCTGGTGAGCTTTATCAGGTGAGCAGGCTTGTTATCACACAAATGTTCACAGAGATGCATAGCATCCTGGAGATGGAAGAGTTCTTAGGAATGCTTCCATTCTTTCAATATGAACCCTCCTTTTAGAGTCACAGAGAAAAGGCCTCATTGTACATGCGGGGAAACTAAGGCTCAGAGCTGCCTATCTCTGATTCTGTGGACACAGAGAGACCCTCTCCCCTTACCACACCTAGCCACTTGCTTTGTACAGGGGTGTCTCTCATCACAAGTTAGTGTAATTGGAGAAGAATAAGCACAATAAGTACTTACATTTATATTTGGTGATATTTATTGAATGGTGAGTATGTATCAGATGCTTGCCTACCTTTACACAGCTAATTACAGACAGAACTGGGACCAGACAGCTCACCTTCTAGACCAACGGTTGACAAACTACAGGCCTGTGAGCCAAATCTGGCCCACCACCTGTTTTTGTAAATAAAGTTTTACTGGGAGACAGCCACGTCCATTCATTTACATGTTGCCTCTGGCTGCTTTTCACTACAATGACAGAATTGAGTAGGATCAAAGTGACAGCAAGGCCTCTGTGCAAATACTTATCTGGACCTTCACAGAAGAAGTTAGCTGACCCCTGTCCTAGACAGTACCTTTTTCAAGTGCAGGGACCATATCTTACTAATTTCTTATTCAGATGTATATACACCTCCTGGTAAACAGTGGGCTCACAATAAACACTAGGGAATGGATCCCTTGGTTTCCAAACACATGCTCTTCCCATCACAGTGCCCCGTTGAGCTTTACTGCGTTAGCTTAGGTTCAATTTGATGAACCAGCTTGTTCTTATTGTCAAGTTGAAGGACACCCTGAAAGGGCCATCAGAAGCTCCAGGGCCTCTTCTTCATGACTGAATAGTTCGGGACAGCTTTGCTAGCAAAAGAAAGATGAGGAAGCCATGCATCTATGGGCTAGGCTTCTCCTCTGGGCTGGAAAACTCCACAGCTGCCTCCAATGGTGAGGTGCAGAACAGAGGTAATGTTGCCAAGAACTTGTTGACATTTGAAGTATGGTTGTTAGTATCTCAATGCCTGCATTTCCTGGGGTTCCAAACCGAGTATTGGTTTCTTTTCTGCCTCTTTTACTAAACTAGCCTCAGTATGCAGCACAATCTGGCAGTAATAGAATCCACATGGCAGGTTATCATTAGCGGGAGCTGCAGGATCCACAGCACAGGGGAAGCAGCACATAGAAAGGGCAAGGGGTGCTGGCATTGTCCCGTTCTCCAGGCAAGTATCAGGAAGGGCAGGCGTTGACCTTGGAAACATTCCAGGATGAGGTCTGGGAGGGTAGGCAGAGGCTGGCATCTGTAAAAGACCAAGCTCTGGCTGCGGAGGCACATCAATGAAAGAGGCGGTTCTTTGCCATAGGTGTTCCAGGCCTGTAGCACTAATGTATTCCCAGCCCGGGCTCACGTTGCATCTGGTGCGTTATTAAATAAAAAGAGAGCTACAGAAGCTGCCTGCCAAGGATCCTGAAGTTATTAAAATGGGACTGTGGAACGCAGGCCTTGCTGCCAAGGAGACAGGCCACAGCAAAGCCACAGTGCATGTGGGGCTCACAGGGCAGTTTGGGTGTCCAATGGCCAGGGGAGGGGGCAGAGGACCGTGAGACTAATTGGGCCCTTTCCTGGGTAGAGAGTTTCTCTGGGTGCCATTTCTCTGGATGCCAGTAACCAGTTTCTCTGGTTACTTTTTGCAAAGTAACCGGTTCAAGATTTAAAAAAAAATTTTTTTTTTGCTGTGTCCCAAGAAACCAGGTTTTGGTAAAACCCTTACTTAACCCAAACATCCAGTGTGTGTGGGTAGAAAGTAGCCTGACTGAACCTTTTGATTTACTGATGAGCAATCAGAAAATCTTTTTTTGAGTATTATTGCAAGGATTATCGCAAATATTTTGAACATTTATTAGGCCAGACAATAAACACAAGGAAGAACCTGTGCTTTGGAGTGAGGCAAATCTAGGTTTACATTCTGGGCAAATATCCCAAAGAACTGAAAGAAGGGACTGGAACAGATATTTGCACACCCCTGTTCATAGCAGCATTATTCACAAGAGCCAAAAGGTGGATGCAACCCAGGTATCCACTGATGGATGAATGGATAAACACAATGTGGTACATACATACAATGGAATATTATTCAGCCTGAAAAAGAAATGAAATTCTGACACACACTACAACATGGATGAACCCTGAGGACATTGTGCTAACTGAAAGAAGCCAGCCTCAAAAATAAGCCAGACAAATACCATATGATTCCATTTATATGAAGTACCTAGAGCAAACTCACAGAGACAGAAAGTAGAATGATGGTTGCAAGGGCTGGGGAGGAGCGGGGAATGGGGAGTTAGTGTTTAATGGGTATAGAATTTCAGTTTGGGAAGATGAAAAATTCTGGAGATGGATGGCAGTGATGGCTGCACAACAATGCGAATGTACGTAATACCGCTGAAGTGTACACTTAGAAATGGTTAAAATGGTAAGTTTCACATTACGTATGTTTTACCACAATGGAAAAAAAATCTCTGTAATGGCTGTGTGACCTTAAGCAAGTTACTTCACCTCTCTGTGCCTCAGTTTCCTTATTATAACATGGGACAAATGAAAGGGTTGTGGTGAGGATTTAAAATGGTAATGCAACAAAGCTTTAAGCACAGAGGCCTGCACCTGGAAAGGATGCAGGGAATGTTGGTGTAAAACAGAAAATAACATCTCAAACGCAACCTGTGTTTTCACAACGAGCAGAGTAACCATTATTCACATCAGTTGTCACTCTACAACTGTGGATGTGGGAGGCATGTGTGCTGAGCTCCAATTATACCAAAGAAGAGTGCTTTGTTTTAAATTAACTCCTGATCTTAATTTATTTCATTGTTTCTTCCCAGCAGATGCTAATCCCCCTGTCCTGAGTGCATGAACCAAAATGAAGTGGCACCTGGATACATGATTTTAATTCTCTTGGTCCCGGTATCCCCACTTGTGAAGTGAATTGGATGAAATCGGTGGTTCACTGATTTTACTCCAAAAACTGGAGTGAAACTGCCCTTAGGGCTGAAATCACAAAGGTTGCCCTGGGAGCCTGTTAAAAATACAGATTCCTGGGCTTCCCTGCAGAGACCTTTGGGGTGAAGGGCCACACCGAGATTCCAAATGTCTCCCCAGGTGTTGGGGCCACCTGAGTAGGAGGAATCCTTGGACCTCTAGTGTTGACAGCCTGTTCTCAATCTTGGCACATCTGAGAATCACCCAGGAAGCTATGAAAAAATACCTTTTTTCCACCCCCAGAGATTGATGAATTGGTCTGTGATAGGTCCCAGGCATGGGGTTTTTTTTTTTTTTTTTTTGTGGTACCGGGGCCCCCTTTTTTTTTTGGCTGGGTTGGGGTTTTTTTGCTGTGTGTGGGGTTTTTTTTTTTTTTTTTTTTGCGGTACGCGGGCCTCTCACTGTTGCGGCCTCTCCCGTTGCGGAGCTCAGGCTCCGGATGCGCAGGCTCAGTGGCCATGGCTCACGGGCCCAGCCGCTCTGCGGCATGTGGGATCTTCCCGGACCGGGGCACGAACCCGTGTCCCCTGCATCGGCAGGCGGACTCTCAACCACTGCGCCACCAGGGAAGCCCCAGGCATGGGGATTTTAAGTGAGTGCCCAGGTGATTCTACCGTGCAGCCAGCATTGGGAACCTCAGTTCTAGCATAATGGTTCTCACCTGTGAACACCCCCAGACTCACCTGGAGGGCCTGGGAAGCCATAGACGGCCAGACCTCACTCACAAAGTTTCTGATTCAGTAGGTCTGGGTGGGGCCTACAATATACATTCCTGACAAGTTTCTGGTTGATACTGATGCTGCTGGATTGGAGACGACACTTGGAGAAGCACTGTTCGAGAACCCTGCTGCTCAAGGTGTGGCCTAGGCCAGCTGCAGAGGCTTCACCTGGGAGCCTGTTAGAAACGCAGGACCAGCGCCCACCCCAGAGCCTGCTGAATCAGAGTCTGCGATGTGACTCATACGCATGCTACAGTTTGAGAATGACTGCTTTTGAAACTTCTGCTTGCTTGCTTTCATTGTGTTCTGGAGGGGCGGATAAAGGGAAAGACATCTCTTCTAAGCAGGAAGCAGACCTTGGGAGGAGTGATGACGGCCTGGCCTAAATGCACAGGCCTAGCATCCGCGCTCTACCCGGACTCAGAGTGTGTGCAAAGAAAGCCTCTCCCGCGTCAGGGCATGGGGGGGGCGGTGCTCGGGAAGCGAGAATGGGATCGATTACCTTGGCGTGGTTGTAAATATCCACACAGTTGTCGGTATTGATGCTCTTTGCACAGATAATCTCACAGTGTCGCTGCAAAGCCTCCAGCTGGAAAAATTTAGCAGCAGACAGAAGCTAAAAACCATGAAAAGAGCCTGTTAGAGGTTGGGAGGTGGAAGGAAAGCAACGCCCATGGTGAGAAAACTCTTCACCTCCCACAGCGGTACCCAAGGTGAAGGCACCGGGAATAAAGTGTCGGACATCACTCTAAAGCCGGAAGGTTACACTAGAGCTGTTGCTGGCATTAGAGGACTAAAGACTCAGCGACAGAATTCAACTGCAGGGGAAGATGGCAGGGGGGAGGGATGGGGTCGAAGTGAATCAAATTTACATTTATTACAGCAAGAGGTCAAGCAGAAATGCCTAAAATTGTTACATCCAGAAATAAGGGTGATGCTCTTATTCAGCATGGTGGGTATCAATGTGGCTCACTCCCTCCATTTATCCATGTCTCCACACAGATGTCACCTCAGGACTCCTCCCTCCATCACGATCTGGCCCCCTTACCCTGTCTGAGTTTTCCTCACAGCCCTTCTCACACCAGACATGATGTCATGCCTGTCGCCCTCTCCAGAGACCAGGAGGGCAGGCATCTCTGTCCCTTTGCATAGCTGCTGTATTCCAGCCCTGAGCACGGCACCTGGCCGTGGAAGATGCTGAACAGAGGCTCTGGGGAGGGGAAGAAAGGGCTGAAGCAAGAGTTCAAAGGGATTGCCTTTGGGGAAAGGACTGGGAGGATGGGGTGGGGGGTGGCTGGGTGAGGTGCTTTTTATGTACTGTAAAGCCCTTCTGTATTATCTGCATGATTGAAATGTATCTTCATTATTTCAATTTGAAAATAATTTTTAAAAAGGTTTACAAAAGAGTCTGAGTCCTCAGAGTGTAGTTTAGTCCTGAGGTTGTGACGTGTCAGAGGAGCCGTCCAGAGAGACAGCAGAGTAACTTTGGGGGGCGGGGGAGTGACCACAGAAGGTTTCACAGAGTAAGAACAAAAGGATAAATGGCCCCCAGTGAACACACAGCCCCTGTGACACATGCCAGGCACTGTGGTAAGCACCTTACAAATAGAAACTCTTAAGATCTTCAAAACCCAATGGGGTAGATATTGTTATCCCCATTCTACAGGTTGGGAAACTGAGGATCAGAGAGGTTAAATTACTGCTCCAAGATCACACAGCTCAGAAGGGGTAGAGCCTGGATCTGAACCCAGTCTGGCCCAGAGCCCATGTCTGAACCACCGTGTGGTGTCACCTCTTGAACAACTCATAGTGTTCTGACATCTCTCATCAGCCACCCTGGACTTCAGGCACCTGAATGGGCTCCTGGCTCTTTCGCTCAGGAATATCAAAGTGATTTTGGCTTCTGGTTCAAAGCTACCAGCTTTGACACGAGTTCCACTTCTAGGAAGGAGCAGGGAGGGGAGAAGAGGCAGAGTTACGAGAGGTGGACAGGAGACAGGGAGAGCCAGGGAGCTGCAGGAATGAGGGGCCTGAGTGAGGCCAGGAGAGCTTTGTAACTGGTCCTTGGCTCCTGCCTCAGTGGACACGCTGAGATTTGAGGAATGCTTTCAGACCATGTATTTCTCTTACAAATGACAAGGGAGAAGTTGTCAAAGACAGTTCCTGATGATGCTATTTGAGCCCCAGCTGTGCCTGAAGCTAGCGCTAGCCTCAGACTCTTCAGTAAATTTCCTTTCCTCCACCCGCCAAAGCCAGTTAAAATTGGGCTTCACTCAGCTTCACTCAGTTGCTATTGAAAGGGATCAGACTAGCGCACCCAGCGCCCCAGCCTTCCAGGGGAGGGGCTCTGATGAGAAGCCCTTGGGAGATCTAAGGAAGCAGGCAGGACCCCAAAGCCTGCATCCAACACAGACCCAACACAGCCTCTCCCCAGACACCGCCCGTGCGTGCCACCCACTCAGTGACGCAGCGGATTCCTTACCTCCATGATCTCGTTGTTTTTAATGAGAAGCGACTCTGGGCCACCGTAGTAGAGGTACTGCATGACCAGCTGGAAGACAGAACACAGTGAGCAAAGTGTCAATGGCACACAGACACAGTCATGTTAAAGCCATCCACTCAAACCCTCAGGCTGGTTCTGAGTCCCTGTATGACACCCCTTTTTAAGGGTGGCCATTCTCACCGGATCGCTGCCTTTCAGGAGAAGTTCCCTTTAAAGGTTTTATGGGCTGGATATTTTTTCTTACACCATGCTGCAATCTGTCTCCCTGTGGTTCATCCTCAGGGCCAAATTAAACAATTCTAAGTTCTGCTCTCCAGAATGGTTTTCCCCCATCTATGAGTGATAATCATGGGTTGTCCTCCTACCTCCCACCCCACCGAGCTGCCCAGGACTGCAGCACACGTGGTGTGGCTTAAAGACCCTACACCAGCGGCAGTCCCCCTGGGAACATGGCCCGGTTTGACTAGAAACCTCTTGTTTAAGTTCCAGAGGGTGACAGAGCCACGGTAAAACCACCTGCTTATTATAACTTGACAAGACCCAAGATGAAGCCATCAGGGGTCCAGGGTTTCAACGTTTCATTGATGTGTGAACTGTCTAAGCCAGGCTTTGTACATGTGACTCAGGATGCCGGATGGTATGCAGAGTCCCAGAGCTTTGCAAACTGGTGTCCCTCAAGCAGAATGAAGCCTAAGGATGTGTTAGTATTGGCTGTCACCACCTCCCATGGAACTGAGTATAAATTTTTTAGGTGGTGTGTATCCTTCCCAGTTGGCTACTGTCTCCACTACTCTCTAATGTTTTCTGCCTGCCTGTATGACACACTGACTTTACCTGCCTGGGCTTAATAAAGGTGTGTTGGAAAAATCTGTAGACTGTTTCATTCCATTTTGGGGCGCCTATAAAATGAGGTGCTTGGACTGGGCTGCCCTCTATGGTCCCTTCAGGCCCTGTGACTAATACAGAACAGTGGTTAGGAGCAAGGAACCTGGAGCTGGGCTGCCTCAGTTTCTGATCTGACTCTGCCACTTAAAAGCTGGGTGACCTGAATTAAGTTAGGCTCTCTGTGTCTCAGTTTCATTATCTGTAAAGTGGGGATAATATGACCTACCTCATGGAGTTGTGATGAGGATTAAATGAGTGAATATACGTAACAGGCCTAACAGCGGCCTGGCAGGTGCCTGGCAAGAACTCAATAAGTGTTAGCTCTTCAATTTTCTCTGAGGTTGAAAAATCTCCTTCCAGCCGTGCTTCTGCCATGTGCTGCCACTTTCTTACTCAGGCCATTTAACATCCTTTGTGACTGATCTCAATCTACTTTTTGCATGTGTGTTTAAAGTAATCACTTTTCAGCTTATATAACTCAATAACAAAAAAAGACAATCCAACCAAAAACTGGTCAGAAGACTAAAACAGACATTTCTCCAAAGAAGACATACAGATGGCCAACAGGCACCTGCAAAGATGCTCAATACCGCTAAATATTAGAGAAATGCAAATCAAAACTATAATGAGGTATCACCTCACACAGGTCAGAATGGCCATTATTAAAAAATCTACAAATAAGAAATGCTGGAGAGGGTATGGAGAAAAGGGAACCCTCCTACACTGTTGGGGGGAATGTAAATTGGTGCAGGCACTATGGAGAACAGTATGGAGGTTCCTTAAAAAACTAAAAATAGAGTTGCCATATGATCCAGCAATCCCACTCCTGGGCATATATCCAGAGAAAACTCTAATTCGAGAAGATACATGCACCCCAATGCTCACAGCAACACTATTTACAATAGTCAAGACTGTGGAAACAACCTAAATGTCCACTGACAGATGAATAGACAAAGAAGATGTGGTATATTACTCAGCCACAAAAAGAATGAAATAATGCCATTTGCAGCAACATGGGTGGGCCTAGAGATTATCATACTAAGTGAAGTCAGAGAAAGACAAATACCATATATCACTTATAAGTGGAATCTAAAATGATACAAATGAACTTATTTACGAAACAGAAGCAGACTCACAGACATAGAAAACAAACTTATGGTTACCAAAGGGGGAAGGGGGAGGGATAAATTAGGAGCTTGGGATCAACATATACACACTACTATATATAAAATAGATAAACAACAAGGTCCTACTGTATAGCACAGGGAACTATATTCAATATCCTGTAATAAACCATAACGGAAAAGAATATGTATGTATATGTATAGCTGAGTCACTGTGTTGTACACCAGAAACAAACGCCACATTGTAAAGCAACTATACTTCAGTGAAACAGTAATTGTTCAAAAAGTATGTATATGTATAGATTATTTACAGTTGTATTGAAATAGAGTTCATATGACACAAAATGCTTTGATTTAAAGTATACAGTTCAGGGGCTTCCCTGGTGGCGCAGTGGTTGGGAGTCCGCCTGCCGATGCAGGGGACACGGGTTCGTGCCCCAGTCCGGGAGGATCCCACATGCCGCGGAGCAGCTGGGCCCGTGAGCCCTGGCCGCTGAGCCTGCGCGTCCGGAGCCTGTGCTCCGCAACGGGAGAGGCCACAGCAGCGAGAGGCCCGCGTACCGCAAAATAAATAAATAAATAAAAAAAAATAAATAAATATACAGTTCAATGGTTTTTAGAATATTCACAATGTTGTGCAACTATCATCACAATCTAATTTTAGAACATTTTCAACACCCCCAGGAAAAACCCCATGCCCATCAGTAGTCTCTCCCATTTCCTACTTGTGCTGACAACACTGTGATTTGCCTGTTCTGGACATTTCATACAGATGGAATCATACAGCATGTGCTCTTTTGTGTCTGGCTTCTTTCACTTAGTGTGAATGTTTTCAAGGTTCACCCTGCTGTCACATATACCACTCTTTCACCTCTTTTCTATTGCTGAACAATATCCCGTTGTGTGGATGTACCACATTTTGTGTATCCATTCATCAGCTGATGGACGTTTGGGTTGTTTCCACTTTTTTGCTGTTATGAATACAGCTACTATGGCTCAATTTACTTTTTCAGATCTCACCTGCCACTCTGCCCTTCTCGCCTCCTAACCTTGATAACATCTGCCGTTTTCACTCTGACCGCTCCCAACCATTTGCCTTGATCAGAACCTACCACCGTCTCTTTCACTCCTCTGCTTTTGCCCACGCTGTTCCCTCTGCTTGGATGCCCTTCCCTTCTTCTCCACCTGTTGATCTCTGGCCCCTCCTTCGGGATCTAGCTCAGTGGTCACCTCTGTGAAGCCTCCTCAGATCTGCTCACATCTCTCAGCTGCCTCCCACCCCGTGCCGGGCAGCCCATCACGTATGACTGCAGTGTTACTTCCCCCTGGAGTCTGAGGGCACAGACTGGGTCTCGTCCATCTCTGCCTCCCCAGTGCCTGCCCTTCCTCTCTTGCATTTGAGTCTCCCATGCTCTGGCCACCTGCCTGTTGCAGAGATGGCGGTGCTTTAATGGTGATGGCTGAGGCTTTGTGAAATGATATCATAGCGTTATTTACCCGCCCCGCCCCCCCAAAAACCTGATGGGTCATAAGCATCTAAAACACCACATCGGTGAATGCTGGGACATTCGCTTTATTAAAATCCATTTATTCCCCTAGCACCTCTCTTTTATAAAGGCCAAACCAACAATAATAACGGTAAGAGCCATAATAATAACTGTCCCGAACACAGGGCCACTCCAGTTACAAAGCATGTTATCTCATTTCCTCATGGTTGGGTTGTTGACTTGAAATGCTGCTTTTAAGAGCATGGATGGAGAGCCTGGGGCTAATGGAATTTAAACTGGGCTGAGCCATGTCACCTTCAGACTCAGCCAGCACAAGCCTTTCCTGCAAGGGGGCGAAATGGACCCTTATTAGGCCAAAGGGCCTGTTTATGGAGTTGTTTTTCTTGGCAGCTGTCAGCCTGCATGAAGCAGGATGTAAACGGCGTCCAAAGCCTTGTGGAGGCCCTGCTCCCAGGTGCAGCCTCAGCTGCATAGGGCTCTTGCCCGTGTATGATGTTAAATATTCTTGCAGGGAGGAAACTCAAAGCTGTCTCATTCACTAAAATTCTTCTGTTCAGCATGGAAGTGAAGTGAGCAGGCCCCTGGGAGCCTCCTTCTGGGTCAGATTCAGCCCTACTTGGCCTATTTTGAGCCACAAATGAGGCTTTTCTTCTTTTATGGGGAAGGGGCAGGCACATGGAAAAGTCCCCAGGGCCTGCTCAATCTTCTCTGCCCATTACAGTAACTGGAGGCTAATGTGGCCGGGAAGCCTAATCCAGCCAAAAGCAATTACAGGCCTATGATTCCTCTGGGGCTGTGCCTTTCCACGTAGGTGTCTCATTTAACCAGCTCCCACAGCACACATTGATTGAGTGCCTACTACAAGCCGGGCTCTGATGACAAGAACGTCCCCAATTAGTCCCATGCTTGATGGTGTACGTGCTCCCTCCATGAGCACTTGGAGAGCTGGGGGGTGCGTGGTTTCCAGCATCTGGCTCATGCTCCAAATGCTAATGGGCCTTTCCTCCGGGCTGGGCGATTTTTAGGGAGGACCCAAGGCCCCAGAGCAGGGAGGCAGTTAAGAGGTCAGGCCTGGGAGTCAGCCAGGCCTGGGTCTGAAGCTCGGCTTGGCTGTGATGAGCCGTGGGAGCTCGGGCCAATTCCTCTACCTTGTCTGCTGGGTGGGAGAAGAGCCACCTGGAGGGGGAGCTGGGAGGACTGAGTGAGATGATGTGGGGCAGTGGTGCTCAGAGTGGCTCCCTGCACCAGCAGCATCAGCATTACCTGGGTTCTTGTAAGAAACATGAATTCTTGGGCCCCACCCCAGGCCTACAGAATCAGGAACTCTGGGGGGCGGGGCCCGGGAATCTGCATCTTAGCGAGTTTTCTGCATCTTAACAAGCAACTCCCTTCACCCCCCCCCCCACCCAGCACTTCCCCTGGAGTTTCTGATGCCTCCTAAATTTTGAGAACCACTGTAACTTAGAGCACTGGTTCTCCACCTTGGCTGCACATGCCTCTGGATGATGGCAGAGAGTGGATACTTCAAAATGCTGATGCCTGGGCCGCAGCCCAGATTCTGATTTACAGCCTGGACACTGGGAATCGTCAAAGTTCCTCAAATGATTCCACTGCTCAGCTGAGGTTGAGAACCACTGGTTTCGAGCCCTGCACGTAGCTGGAGCACATGAAATGGGAGCTGCTCTTATTATTGTTCCTCTTTGGACCAGACTGGGTGCAAATAATGGCTCTGTCACTGACCAGCACTAAGTTCTCTGGGTTTCAGCTTCCCCACCTCTAAAAGTGGCAAGATTAATCCAGATAACCACATGCAAGCAAAGGTCAGTGCCTCATTCACAGTTGGAGTTAAAAATAGGGAAAATGAGCCTCAGAGAAGACAGTGTCTTGTGCATGGTTAATTCCATAAGGATTCTTTATTTTGAAGTTTCAACATAACCACAGGAATGCATCTCTAATGGTGGAAATACTGACACCTCAGTGGGCTTTAGGGCTTTAGTGTGAGGTCATGGTGGCTTCCTGGCAGCCCTCTGAATCACAGGATCTTGGGGAGCAGGGTCAATCACCAGTGGAGGGAAAAACCATCATCTGGCCAGCCACACTTGGCTTATAGTATGTGGTTCCAATGCATCTTTTCAGTCTCCAGTATACCTTAAGACACAGACGAATGGACTATTATCACTTTCCCTCAAATACACACCACGATTTCCCACTTTTGTGCCTTTGTTTATGCTGTTTCTCCCTCTGGAATACCCTCTCTCTCCTATTCACCAGATGAGGAAGCTGAGGCTCAGATAGTCTGGGTAATTTGTTCAAGGTCACACGAGGGACAATGATTTTAAACAGGGGAATGTAGCTGTTTAAACTGGGGAAGGTAGCATTTAGATCCTGAAACGCAGCTCTGTCCTTCAAAGCCCAGATCACGACCTCCGCCCTATGACCCTGGTTACGGCCATGTTTGCCTCCTGCTTATGTCTGAGTGTCTCCTCAACCCTCTTGGAACGTGAGCCTCCTGAGGGCCAGCCTGAGTCTTACCCACATTTCCCCAGGGCTGTCCTTCCAGAACGGAACCAGAGGAAACAGGTCCTGTTCAGAATCCTATAAACTCCATCCCCAGATCACCCACATTGGCCGACTAACCCTGGCTGTGGGAAGACAGCACGAGGGGCCACAGTCTCCCCTGTAGGCCCCCTGCTGGACGTAAGCAGCCCACCAGCCTCCATGCCCCCGATGAGACTCGGAGCTTCAGAGATAGGGCTGCAAGGCCAGATGGGGGTGTGAATTTCTCCTAGTGGCGAGAATGTCATTGCAAGGCTGGATTTATGAATCAGACATGAAATCCAGGGCCAGATGGCTTCACAGGCAAATTGTACCAAATGTACAGAGAAGAACTTATACCAATCCTTCTCAAACTCTTACAAAAGATTGAAGAGGAAGGAACACTCCCAAAGACATTCTATGAAGCCACCATTAGCCTGATACCAAAACCAGACAAAGATACCACCAAAAAAAAAAAAAAAAAAAAAAAAAAAAAAAAAAGAATCAGGCATGAAGAATGGAGGAAAAGGGAAGAAAGCTGCTGTGTCCCTTAGAGGTGCCCCATAAACCGAATGGTATTGATTTCAAATGGAGGGAGATATGGCAATGTCATCTGGCCTCTGACAAACCTTCCTTTCCTATTTACATTAGGTTCAGACCAATGTTAAAATGACACTGGATTCCCTGAAGTCAACTGGCTCCTCATCACACTGAGCTCAACCGCCTTTGGGGACTTCATACCTGCTGTTCTCTGCCTGGAATGTTCCAACTCCCTTTCTTAAGCCCTAAGCCTCCCCATGGTTTGCCAGCTTCTCCTCAGCCTGCAATATTTCAGCGACACCTCATCCAGGGGCCTTCCTCAGTCTCCTGGGTCTGAGTCGCCATAGCTTGTTGGCTCACCCCTCTCTCATGCACAGCCCACTTTATACTGTAACTCAGAGTTACCCCCTCTGGACTGTGAGTCCCCAGGAGAAGAATGTCCTTTGTCCTTGTGTCTCCAGGTCCCAACACAGTGTCGGGCACATAGCAGGTGCTCAGTTAATGCTGTGGGCATGAATGGATGGTAAGTGGGAGGGGCAGTGTGCGGATGGGGGCCAAGAGAGCAGGAGATGATGACTCAGTACAGTGGCTGATCCACAGGTGGAGGGTTGGAGGGACCTACCGGTGCCCCGCACCTACCAGCAGGCTTCCAGGCAGGGGCTTACCTGAAAGATGGGGTACTTCACGTATCCGATCTCTATGCAGGTGTTGTCATTTGTCGGTTTGCTAGAGAGGAGGGCTTTGAACCTGAGGAGGAACATAAAAAGGGAGATAAGAAGACTCAAAAAGCCATCAACAGCTTGCAAGAGACTCAGCTCTCCGACGACAGAAACATGTAATGTCTTGTATCCCCTCCCACTCTGAAATACAATGACATATCCATAGATTGTTTAACATAATGCTCCCCCTTCTGATATGATTCCATAATTCAATCTGAAGTTAAAACTAAAAGTCTAAAGTTAAAAACAGTGTTTGGAACTGTTAAATTATCTCTCAAACAGGTGACTGGAAAAGGACAAACGCCTTTTAAAACCCCGTCCACCTTGTAGGGCCCATCACAAAGGCTGCCTTCTTCCTGGAGTCCTTCCTGATTCAGGCCTCAAGCTCCTCAGGCGCCCACGGAGCTCTCCACCTCCCTCTCCCCCCCCCCCCCACACACACACAAACAACCTTTAGCTCCAAGAGGGCAGGGACTGCTGCCTCCTCAGAGCCTACGCCAGGCTGGACCTGATGCACTGTAGGTATTTAATCAACATCTGTGGATTACCTAACCATCTCCCTATGTGGGTGATCTTCTGTCTGGGGTTTTAGGTGCATTTTCCTGCCACTGACTAAACTAAGCTCCTTGTGAGTAGAGACTCAGTCAGTGGAACACATGGATACTCAATACCTTTAGAAATAAGCTAAGCTGTGTCTCTTTTTATAAGTTAAACGTTAAATTTGAAATAATTTTAGATTTACAGAAGAGTTGCAAACGTCATACAGAGAGTTCCAGGATGCCCTTCACCTAGCTTCCCCCGATGTTACATCCTACACAGCCGTGGTACCTTTGCTGAAACTAAGAAATTAACATTGGTACAATACTGATCTAGTTCTTCTGTGGTGTCACAACCGAGAACCTTGCAAGGGACAGTGTATTTTTCTTGCAGTGGCAAAGCAGACATTTGGGGTATTAGGTTTTGGGGGGGGACACTGGAAATGCCAGGAGGCTTTTAGGAACCCAGGGAGTGTTGGCCACACAGCTTCATTAGTGACCTGGAAGTGGGTTCCATTTCTGGATCCCAGTGTCCTTACCCTCTGCTCACTCCCTGGCAGCCTGCCTTCTCCTCATTCAGCATCACTTTCTTCTCTGCCCATCTTCACCGATCCCTGTTCAGGTCCTGGGATAATACAGTTCTAAATGGTCAACTCCATCTCTACTCAAACCGAAAGGAGAAGCAAGGGCTGTAGCAGAGCTAGCAGGGACGGTGTTATACTACTGTCACTCCAGAGTCAGGGAAAAGTAAGGTTCAGGACCTCTGTGTTTTGGGTGGCTTATGTCAAAGTTCCCTGATATTTGGAGAGCAGGCCTTTCAAGGCTTCTGTGTAGGAGCTTTCAGGCTGCATAAGGACACCTGGCTGAGGGAGCTACAATCCAATCCATGCTCTGCTCATGAAGCTCTTTGCCCAATATGTGCCCCGTCTGCCTAGAGGAATGGTGCCCTGTCTAAGCCACATAATCAGGCTGCTGATTATGCTAGTGTCAGCCCTGTACTCTTTTTCCAAATTGTGGTTAAAACACATGTAACATAAAATTTACTGTATTAACCATTCTTAAGTGTAACGTTCACGTGAAGTGTGCTCACATCGCTGTGCAATCAGTCTCCAGGACTTACCCTGTCCCCGTTAAACAACTCCCCATTCCCCTCTCCAGCTCCACCATCCCCACCCTTCTACTTGCTGTCTCTATGAAGTTGATTACTCTAGGTTCATATAAATAGAATCATACAGTATTTGTCTTTTTGTGACGAGCGTATTTCACTTCATATAATGTTCCCAAGTTCATTCATGTTGTAGCATGTGTCAAAACCGCCTTCCTTTTTAAGGCTGAACAACATGTATACACTATGTATTTTTTAATTCATTCCTCCACTGATGGACTCCTGGGTGGCTTCCCCCTTTTGTCTTTGTGAATCATGCTGCCTGAACACGGTGTACAAATGTCCTGTACTCTTGGATCCTTGATTTTGAGAAGAAAATGTTCCAGTTCAGTGAGGATACCACCCAAATTGAATTTCAGAGAATAGAAACAGCCACCCTCGTAATTCAGTGCTTTCAAAATTGATGACACATACCTTGGAGAGGCTGTAAATAACAGCACTTTGTGAGCATAAAATGGTCTTCCTTCTACCAGAAAGGTAACATCTGACATTTCTTTATTGTTAAGGAAATGAGGATCTGGAACAGGAAAGGGAGAGAGGGTAGCTTTAGAGGAGAGAAGGGTGAGGTTTGGATTCCCCTTTTGGAAAAGTGCCCGTAAGTGCTGACAGGGAGGCTATGGCGTTAAAATACTCATTGGAGAGAAAGTGACCAAACAGGAGACAGAATCAGTTAAAGGAACACTCAAATCACTGAAATTCAGTTTCTTGTAGGAAACCTTCATAGCTTACTCGCGACTAAAAGTAGCATTTACCCTTAGAAGACTCGCCCCCAGCCCGAGTTCAGATGACTGTCAGGTGTGGAAGGTGACCATCCACTCCGCTGACCTCCAAGGAAGTCACCCCCCCCAACCTCGCTCCTCCTCAAGCTCAGCGCCCTCCCGCCCGAGAGAAGTGCTTCTGAAGAGCTGTCCCCTTGCTGCTGCGTTCCACGCGATCCGAAATCCAAGCTCTTTTCTCAGGGTCAGAGGCAAACGAGCCAGGCCCCTGCCCTCAACTCCAAGAATAAAGAAGTTGTATAACTACTTGTACAATGAGCACTCTAGTACTTACTGAGCACTCACGATGTGCCAGGCACCGTGTGAGCTGGCACTTACACGTGTAAACTCATTCAGTCCTGGGAGAAAGGGACGGCTGTCAGGTGCGCAGCTGGGGACACAGAGGCCAGGAGTCACAGGGACTTGGCCAAGCAAATGGCAGGTGGAGAGGCCAGGATGTGAACCTAGACATTCTGACTCCAGGGCCTGCATTGCTAAGCACCGGGATCCTCCGATTTACCTGTCATTTTGGCCATTTTTCCCGGGGCTACAAAAGGTGCCAGTCTGTCCTCAGCTCAGTACTTCGGTCTCACTGGGAAAATCCACCAACACTCCCGTGCACCCCTACACGGCTCCACCCCACCTGGCTTCTAAGTCAGACCCCTGGCCTGGCCCCATTTTGCCCAGGCCCTGCTGTAACTTGGACCCAGAATTTGCCTTCCTGGCTGATTCGCCCCAGGGGGTGGTCCTGGATGTCCTCCATTCATATTTCTCTGTCCGTACCTACAGCCACCTCACCTCTTCCCAATAAAAAAAGTTTTAATTTAAAACATATCAAAAAAAGCAGTAAAAAGTCAAAATCACCTGTAGTCCCTCTATCTTAAAAAAATTTTTTTTTATTAAAAAAAAATACAACAAGGGCTTCCCTGGTGATGCAGTGGTTGAGGGTTCGCCTGCCGATGCAGGGGATGCGGGTTTGTGCCCCGGTCCGGGAAGATCCCACATGCCGCTGAGCCTGCGCGTCCGGAGCCTGTGCTCCGCAACAGGAGAGGCCACAGCAGTGAGAGGCCCGCGTACCGCCAAAATACAAAAAAACAACAAAACCCAAACTTCTAAAACTCCCCAGGTAAAGGGAAGAGAGGCTATAGGGGAAGGCCCCAGCGTTGACTAACACTTCTCCACTTGCTTTAAAGACTGTTAACAGGCTGGAGTGACTTTCTCCCTCTTCTCAGCCACCTGCCTCCCTCCGCTGGGTCTCTCTCACTCCCACTGTCCACTTCCAACTAGACCCCACTCCTGCTTCCCAAATTGCTAATATCTCCTACCTTTAGCTCTTTTTACCATTCTCTCCCAGAATTCACTGGGAGGGCAAGAGGACAACGTACTATAAAAAAAAATAAGGCATGTGCTCTCCAATTTGCCACAGTCCCCACCACTCCCTATTGTCTCACACCAAACTAATTTCAATCATTTTTATGACCTGCCTGGCCCTACAGAGATGCCAGTTTGGAACCTTTGTCACTACTCTTATCTTTCCTTTCAAGAAGATTCCTAAGGAACTACTATTTGGCCACCTTTAGTTATCTGAGCTTGAAATGCTGTATTGAAGATGCAACACACTATTTGTTCCATATTCCACTTATTAGTAGTTATGTCCTTTTTCTTTCATCTTGTGAGCTTTGAGCCTCTCAGGCCTGCCTTTATTCTCTTGGTGCTAATAACCCTTGGGATTCCAATGCTTGGGCTGAAAACCAGGCCCTTTTAATTGCTGGTGAAAGAAATCTCAGCCAGTTCAGGAGGAAAAAAAATGTTCCCTCCTCTCCTATAGCTACAGGAAAGCAGATTTTATGCTGCATCAGTGAAACAGCCCTTGCAAATGTTTGCTCTAACAAGGGTGTCTTGTAAGGCACCAGCTGTCAGAGATTATTGCTATGTCCTGGCAATGTAACCTTCAATCTCTAAAGTCTGTTAATTTGATTGATCTTTATAATTTGTTGCCCTGATAATATTTTAATTAACACCTGTTTTCTACAAGGTAAGAACTACTAGCAGTTTTAGTACATTCTGGTTTGCCTACATGAATGGGCATAAAGAAAACCAGACAATTTTGGTTCAACTGCTAAGTTTTTCATTTTAGCATAAGAGTTGTATCATTTAAATTAACAGGTTATTCATGACAGGAACAAAAATGAAACAGTTTCATGAATTTAGCCTTTTCATTAATTTAAACTAGCTCACCTGTTTCAAAAGTAGGGGTTTTGCTAAAGGGTAGAAATTTTCAGATGCTTCCATTTCTCCAAAGTTTCCAGGTCTTTATAGGAAGAGGAAACAGGAAGTAGGAAAGTCCCCAACCTTCATGGCAAAGGGAGTCCTTTATCTTTAATATTTTATAACCCCCAGGCAGTGAGAGGCCCTCACGACAGAAGGTTCATGTTTCAGGATTCAAGGCAGCTGGGTGTTTGCCTTCTTGCCAGGCTGATCAACCAGGCTGCAAGCAGACTCAGGATCTTCCAAATGAAATCAGTGCCTGATGGAAAGGTTTCTTCTGGAAAACCCCAGAAGCCGGACTGGAGAATGATGGAATTGTGGCTTTGGGGGGACCTGGGTTCAAGCTCCAGTTCCACCTGAACTGATGCTGCAGCCTCTGAGAGCTTCTCTTTCTTCAGCTTTGACCAGGATGACACTGTGTGCCTCCTGCGGTGGCCCAGGGATTGCTTGAGAGAGAGTAGGTGAGGGGCTTTGCTGTGGCCAGCTCAATGCCAGGGTCAAAGAAGGGTGAAAAGTACTGTCACTGTCCCCAGCTTGTTCCATCTCAGGGAGGAGGGACTTCTTAGAGGGGAGGTTGGGGGAGAGCAGCCATGTACAGCTCAGCCTTCTCTGGGACTTTACCTGGCTGCTGGAAGTGCGTGGGCTCAGAAGGTCTTGGGCAGCCCGTCACTGTCGGTGACTTGCCATAGAAAGGCACTCAATGGAGGGATGAGATTTTGGCAAGTTCCCTTGTCCACACCGCCAAGGTATGCTCTCCAAAGAGTTTAATCGCATAACAAAGGTGACATCCTGATCTCCACTTACCTCACTCCAGTCTCCACCTTGTTTGCCCTCCAACACTCCCACCTCCTTTTATGGTGTTTGCTTGCTCCCTGCCCTCCAATCACAAAGCAACAGCGCAGGGCAGGACCCGGGAAGCACTTACCCAGGCGTGAGGTCTGTTTCCGTTTGATCTCTGTGAGCTTGGGGATGGGGTAGGGCCCATAGCAGTGAGTGAAGATGACACACAGCTGCTGGCTGATCACTTCGTTCTGTGGAAAGGAAAGAACAGCTCACACTGCTGGGGGCTGTGCACTCATCCAAGCTGTGCTGTAACAATGGGTTCCTCCCCCCAGGCGAGAAGAGCCCACAGACTTACTGCAGATTCTCAGAGAAATTCCCCCGACATCACACGTTCACTTTGCCCCTCAGGCCCTGGATTTGCTTGCTCTGTTTGTCCACTATTTCTAGCAGGTTCATTGGTGGAAGTTTAATTTGTAATTAAATCCTTTCTTGCTCCAATCATTTCTTTACTATCCATTAGAAAACAAGTTTTGTAACTCACAGGATGGAAAATAAGTTTTTCACCCTAAACACACCTTTATTAATACTCCAAAATTCTGGCAGCAGGTTAATTATCCCGAAAATCACAGCAGGAAGCCCTTTGGGTCCTGTTCTTGTGCTCTCCATGACCAAGATACAAATGCTCCTGATTTGGCTTTCTTCTGACTTTGATTCTGGTGCTGAGGCATTTCCAGATCCAGGAGTGCTCAGCTGAATCACTTCCTCCAAAAAACAGTGTGTGTGGGGAGGGGAACAGTTCTGTGATGCAAAACTACAGCTGCCCCAGTTGCTCAGGGAGCCTGTTTCTGATCGCCCTTCGCCCTTCACGTTCTTTCCTCCTCTCCCGTTGGGGCCTGTGCTGTTCATTAATCTCCCCTCCAACTGCAGGTGTGCAGGAAGGAAGCCCAGGAATCAGAGCATTTTTTGGGATGCTTTTTACTGGGTGAAGGGGGTTGAAACTAGGGGCTAAAATCAGAGGTCGATAGCTAGACATTTACAGTATATTAAGAAAAGTAGGTTACAACAAAATTTGTACCATGTATTTTTGGAAGTAAAATGCTACATATATACTTGGATGTATAAAGAAAGGTCTGGAAAAAGAGTAGCTACCGTTGGGTGGGATGATGATGTCTTCCCTTTTTATCTATATTTTCTGTAATAAACAAGTATTGCTTTGGTCATAAAAACAATAAATGTTATTTTTCATTTTAAAAGACAGGTTTGGGACTACTAATGATGTTAGCAGTTCTTATTCTTGAATCTGCTTCACTGTGTTCCTGAAAGAGAGGGATTACAGCTCAACCTATGGAAAGAAAACCCAACCCTTTGATCCTGCAAGGCACCATGTTACCTCAGAGGGGGTCCACAGAGGTGCCTAAGGAGATGCAATCATATTGGACAGAAAAAGGGATTCTGCTTTCAAAGATGATACCTTATGACCAGCAGCATTGGCATCACCTGGGAGCTTGTTAGAACTGCAGATCTGCAGGTCCCATCCCAGACTTCAGCCTCAGGTGGGCTGGGGGTTGGGCCCACCAGTCAATATTTTAACAAGTTTTCTGATGCTCCCTTTGTTTTGAGACCCACAAGCTTCATATATTGAAATTCGGTCTTGGGTTTGACCTGGGCTGGGGACTGTAAATTTGTTTCCTTTGGTCTAAAGCCTTAGCCACACAAACATGCTCCATCGACCAGCAGCAGTAGTATTGCCTGGGAGCTTGCAAGAAATACAGACTCTCATCCTAGGCCCACTGAATCAGAATCCGCATTAACATGCTCTGCAGGTGATTCCCATGCATACTAATGTTGGTGAAGCACCGGGTGGTTGGCAGTACTGTGGCCCCTAGAGGACTGCATGCCTTAACCCCTGGGACTGTGATATCATGAGATACCATGCCTGTGAATACGTTCTCTTTCAGAGTAAAAGGGACTTGGCAGGAGTAATTAAGGTCACTAACTAGACCTTTAAAGGGGGCGATTACTTTGGATTATCTGGGTGGGCTCACTGTAATCACATGAACCTTTAAAATGAGAGGCAGAAGAGGAATTCAGAAAGGATGGGCGAGAAGTGGAAGTCAGAGGGTCTGGAAGCCTGAGAAGGACTTGATGCACTGTTGCTTGAAGACAGCGGGGGCCACATGGTGAGCTTGAGAGGGAATGCAGGCCCCAACACTAGGAACAAAATATGACCCCCTAGCTAACCCCCAGGAAGGAAATGGGACCTCAGTCCTACAGCCACAAGGAACTGAATTCTACCCAAACCTGAATGAGCTTGCAAGTGGATTCTTCCCGGGTCTCTAGAAAGGAACTCAGCCCTGCTGATACCCCTGATTTTGGTCCTGTGAGACCCTAAGTAGAGAGCCCAGCCGAGACCTTGTGCCTGGACTTCTGACCAATGGAAACCATGAGAGAATAAATGGCTGTTGTCTTCAGCCTCTAGATTGTGGTCATTTGTTACTGCAGCAATAGAAACTAATACAGCTCATCTAGAGTTTGCCTATCATCATCCTTCTGACCGCAGCGTGCCTGACACACTGTGGATGCACAGTGAATACTTGCAGATCACAAGAAAGATGAGACCTGTGACCTGCAAGATGCTCTGTGCAGAGTGTGTGATGAACGGTGCTGGTCTCACTACCTGTACCTGGGGTTGTCTTGGGAGGCTTGCTGGTGAGTCAGCCCATCTCATCAACTCGGGGGAAGGAATGAAGATCCATTTCCTGGATTTTGTGACCCGTAAGAGAAGCCTGAGCAACCAGTGGACTCTTCGTGGGGCTTTTTTTTTTTTTTTTTTTTTTTTTTTCTTGCGTTATGCGGGCCTCTCACTGTTGTGGCCTCTCCCATTTGCGGAGCACAGGCTCC